TGCATGGGAATGGTTAGGGGTGAAGGAAGTAGCTCACCAGGGAGAGGCTGCATCTGGGAAGTCACTTTTCATTAATGAAGGAAAGGCTGAGTAGATCCTGGAGGGGCTGACAGGAAAAATAGGGGGGGTGACATCAATTAGGGAAGTCCCTCTCAAGCTGAAATAAGATATTCCTGAGCTGAGGAAGCCACTTGTGGGATGTGTAAGGATGTGGCCCAGTTCATGTGCTACTGCATCAAGTGTTTCTGTCGCTTGCTGTCTCTGAAGAAATTAATGGAGATGGATTATACTACATGTTTTAAAGTAAGTATTTTTAACCATTCTCTACTTGCTTTTTAGACTTCTTTCCTATATCCCTCATGTGAAGTTTTCATGGGAAATAGCAAAAAAAAAAACTCTACCACAGTCCCATTACATTGTGCTCCTTTTAGGTCCATCACTATGAAACCTTAATTACTAGCTTAAGCTCCTACCTACTCAAAATTTTGTCTGGTTTTTCTCTTTTTTTTTAACCCTACTTTCAAAACCTCTCAAACAACTGAAGTGGATGCCATCAGCTGGGGAGTGTAAGTACAAATGCATGTCTGAATTTTAGTGTATTCAAAGGGGAAGGAGAAAAATTTTAATTCCGAAAGTTTGGCAGCAACTTCTAGGACTTGAAATATCTGAGATAATTTGACAGCAACTACTCTGTGCATGTAAGCAAAGAATGAGACAATTTTAAAACTAATCTTATAATGTACAGCTTTCATGACCTTGAATATCACAACACAAGGATTCTGTAATAGTTTACTGAAAACCCAAAAAGCCAACAGTGCATTGATTAGAAGAGAGATTTTGGTAGGGAAATAATTTGTTCGTTGAATTTAACAAGCTTCAAAAGAATCACTGTAGGAAGAAAAACCACAATCCACCACAAAAAAAAAAAAAAGGCAATCCTTAAAAATAGCTCTGAAAGGAATTTTGGTCAGCAAATCATAGTGCATTAGGGAAAGAACAACTTAAGCTTTTCAGAGCACCAAAAAACACAGATAAAACAAACACTTAGAGCTGGAAAAGACCCCGAGACACTGAGTAGATGGGACTTGTCCTATTTTAAACAGGCACATTTAATTGTTCCAGAAAGTAGATTGTTTCACATGAAAGAGATTGAGTTCTGAGTGGGTAGTTGGACATACGGTTTAAGTTGACTCCATGTCAACGCAATTTGTTCCAGGTACTTCAAAAGTCCCTGTGCATGGTGGTTACTGCTGGCAGGAGTGCCACTGTCCCCAAAGCAGGGCAGGCTCTGAGGGTGTACACAGCTCTTACCAAGTTCAGGTAGTTTTGTTTTTTTTTTAAGTGGAACTCTGTACAACTTGAGGAAAGGGAAAAAAAACCCAACCCTGAGAGTTCTTTATGGTATTTCTCTTCCCATCTTTCACTCAGATTCTGCCTTGAGGCGAGCTGGAACCTTTCCCTCCTGAAAACTTTCAGTGCAAAATGAGTCAGGCAAATCCTGTTTCCGTGCTGGTCCAGGCACTGCAGGGTGGAAGGTCTGAGAAGTCACTGTGAAAAAAGAACAAGAGTCTCAAATGAAGTTCAGGACTTTGTACCTAGGCAGAGAAAGGGGCTTGGCAAATTCCAGGGAAATATCTGCCTGAAACCTTTGCATTCCTGGTCAAAGCTAGGTGTTATCTGCACACCTGAAACGTGCAGGTACACATGAGCTAAGAAGGAACAGTCTGACAATGCTGTACATGCCCTGCACGTGAGGCACAATCCAGATAAGATAAAGATTTGCTTTAAAAGAGCTGCTCCTGATCATACCAGGTTAAGAGGGAGTGCATGGGGTTGGAGAGGAGATCCATAGATTCAGGAAGGAAGTTCCCAAAACATATCTGCCAACTTGCAGAAATGTTTTGTGGACCAGTTCAAACTGGGAGGGAGGAGCAATTATCATGAATAACACCCTGTGTTCAGGGGTGTCAGCTGCCAGAATCTAGTTCTGGCATTGCTAGGGATGCTGCAAAAGTTAATATTTTAATACTGCTCCATGCAAGGAACTCTTGAAAGGGCTAAAAGCCATTAGCCTCAGATTTCAGTCCAACTGCCTGCAGAGCAAGGGGAGGGATGACAGAAATGTCAAGTCCCTGAAAAGCCTTAGAGATGATACTACACCATCTAATAAGGGATTAACAGTGAAAAGGAAAATGCATTGGAGAACACATTTTCCTTCTAAGCTGCTGGACACTTCAGGAGCTGGCATGTTTACTTCTGGCATCTTGAGGAGTATTTTGGTCTAAGATCCTTTTGTTTGTTAGAAGGTGACATATTAAGTATGACACTTAATTAGCTGTTCCTCGAGTGGAGGCCTAACATACCATGCCTCTGCTATGGTGTTGCAACAACAAGTAGTGTAACTCCAGACAAAAGCTCTTGCAATTATTTTGTTTGTCACCACAAGTGGACTCCTGCCATGGAATTTCATGTGGGGCACAGCAGCTTTCATGACTCCATAAGAGCCTCCATCTGAAAACACCTTGTTCCTTTTCCAAGGAAGTTATGAACATCAATTTTGACAGTGTAAGACTTCAAGTCTGAAGGCTGCTGGATTCCCTTGTGTTTCTCCTTGGCTTTATGTATAGAGTAACACAGAAACAGAGAGTCAACATGTTCAGTTTCTTTGTGCTGCCCTGAAAGTGAGTCACAGCTGTAAGGGTTATGGCTGATTAAATGGGAAAAAAGGGTATTTTGCTGCAGGTGGACAGGCAGGTGTGCATTTGTGATCAATGTCACACCACCAATACATCGTGAAGGGAAAGACTGGTGACCGTTTTGTCCAGTGCTACAGCATGTTTTTCCTAATTTGCTTAAACAGAATAAATACAGGAAATGGCATTCCATATTGGAGTAATAATGGCTGAAATTTACAAAGTAAAACACTTGTTCTTGTGTACTGAAAGAGCTTAAAACCAAGACACAAATGCATCCAAACTATAATAGTACCTTTAACTTCTCATAGAAGAAATCTTTTAAGGCTCAAAATGAAGGTCTCCCCAGTAGATTTTTTTTTTCTCTTCTGAAGAGAAAAATTCTGAGGCCTTTGTAAAGTGTAAAATGATTCTAGAATATTCATGACCTTTGGAAAAGGTCAGAGACAGGGAAAATGATGCCAGCATTTTGATTTGATATGTATTAAGAAAGACTGGCATCCAATCAAGGAAGTGTTCTGATCTCCAAAAATATTAAATGTGTTCAATTATGCATGGGGAAGCTTTAGAGGTAGATGTTAATTAAAAGAATAGTTAAATTTTGCTCTTAGTCGTAAAACTGAAGCCATTGCCACAGGCAACTTATTTCCTCTCAGTTCAAATTATTTGTTTTTAAGATGGTAGAATTTTTGCTTATACAGATTTAGATGCTCCATTCTATTACTAAATTAGTACCCAGTGTCCAGGCTATCAGTGAAGGTGTGAAATCTGTGGGTCTGCTGCATTTTCATTCCTAAAATTATTCTTTAAACCATGTTGTTGGAGCCTTTCCTCCTTTTTTCTTGTCAAATTAAGGGCCTCATGAAATTTACCAGAGCATTTGCTCATATATTGAATATAATGCAGTATTATATAAATTTCTCTGGATATATGTGTGTGTTGTTGGAAATATACATCACCTTTGTAAAGATTTTTTTCTTATAAGGCTTTATGATAGCTAAACTACGACACTGCAGATGCTAAGCACAAAAAAGCCATTGTGTGCAAATAGATAAGGGAACAAAAATAGTCAAAGGGAGTTTCATGTTCAGCTAGACCTGATTTTTTTAAATTTAATTTTTACCTTAATGTCCACCTATGGATGGGCAGGAATCCAACTGATCCAAAGCACTTTGATGATGATTTGTTCCCTGGCATTTGGTAACTAAAATTCAGGATATTTGTTTCATTCCTTCCAAACGATGCTGACACAGAACTTTTCTAACACTTTGCTGGAAAAGTATGAGCTTTTAATATTTAACTTCTACTATTTATACACCTGTTAACGTAAAAAGAGGTAGAGAGAAAAGAGCTTGTTACGCTCCAGTGATTTAATTATTATCATTAGCAGCACAATTTTAAAATATGTCTATAAATAGCTTTTTCCTCCTTTCCCTCTTTTTCCTTCTGCTTGCCTCACATGCCTTCATACTTAGTTTTAATTCCTTAATCAGATATGATCACAAATTCCTTTTCTAGCTACAAACTCCTGTTCTAGCTACACCACTTCAGTTTAGAGAGCAACAATGAGTATGGCGTGACTGAAAATCCCCAAGAAAGCTATTCAGTTTCTAGAAGGTCAATGTGTATGGTGCATATATATAATGTGTACTCATAATGTATATTGTGCGTATATATAATGCGTATTTATAATGTATATTGCGGTTTTGTGAAAGAGTACTGGTGTGATGCTAACAACCCGTGGAAGTCGAAGTTTTCCTCCCTGTTCGACTACACTGTGTGTACTTTTAGTCAAAAAACCATGCCTTTGCTGGGTACGTCGTAAGAATATACAGAATGTCTGTTTATTTTTTAGACAAAAAGCGTCGCGTTTGCGCGTTCGCAAGGATGCCCGATTTCTGCCTTTAGATCCGCGCTCCCTCAAAACCAACCGCCGAAAGGGAAAGATTACTTGGTTTAGAAGGGAAGCTGCCTTCACGCACTGGTGGAAGAGGGAAAAAGAGGTGGGACAAACCCGGGCTGGGGAACCAAACCCTCACGGGACCCCGCCATCCCCTCACGGCCCCGCCGCCCCCTCACGGAGCCGCCGCTGCCCCGCCGGGCGCGCGCGCCCCCTGCAGCCGCCCCGCCCCGCGGCGCGCGCTGGCCCCTCCCCTCAGGAGCCGGGGGAGCCCCCGCATCCAGCCCCTCTTCCTGCCCCCCTCTCCCGGACTCCCGCTCGCCGCTCCCGGTGGGATGGAAGTCCCCCCGTAAAAGCCTCTTCCTTCTCCCCGGTAGCAGGCGGCGGGCCCCGTGTTCGGTGCAAAAATGCTGGGCATGTACGTGCCGGATAGGTTCGCCCTGAAGTCGTCCCGGGTGCAGGACGGGATGGGGCTCTACACGGCCCGCAGAGTGAAGAAGGTGGGTGATGGCGGGGGAACGGCCTGGCCCGGCCCGGCCCGGCGGGGAGCGGCTGCCACGTATCACCGGGGAGTTGGGCGGCTCTCCCGCCCCTCTGCCCCGCTCCAAGTTCGCCTGAGCCGCGCTGTGCCCGCCCGGGCTCCCTGTGCTCACGGGAGGCGCCGCCCGCCCGCTCCCCCCTCCCGGTACCAGGAGCCTCCCGGGGCGCTGCCGCCTCGGGCGGGACGGGGCGCGGGGGCCGGCGGAGGGTTTTTGCTCTGAGGAGTTTTATTTTCCCCATTTTGTGATTTTTTTTTTTTTTTTTTTTTTTTTTTTTTTTAAACTTGGTTTGTGCGTCTGGCACAGTTTTGAGGGCAGAGCTCTCCCGGGCGGGACCGCCTCCGTGAGGGTCCGGCTCTGAGGGCAGGGAGGCCGCCCGGGGTTCTCGGGCTCCCGTCACCTCCTCCCTCACGGCTCTCCGGGCTCGCTCGGCCGGACCGTGCTTTAATTCCTTTTCTCGGCGTAATAAAGCCGGGCCCCTGAACGATGTAATTCAGCTGAACCCAGTCTCGTACTCCAACCAGGTGATGCCTCTTCACACTTCATAATTGAAAGTATCTTGATGATGTGAAATTCCAGCTGAGACTGTCCGGGCGGCTTGTTAGGACACATAAAGGCATAACAAAGCTATGAACCCTTCATTAGTATACACTTTTCTGTGTTTTGTCTGTTTCGCCTTCCATCTTTGTCCGCGTTTTGGCTCTGATTTTTTTTTCCTAATTTTTCACTGGTTTCATCAACAGGACTTAGACTCGATGGGGTGGAGGTCTCACATTTTTAAGGTGTCCCTGAGTGTTAAGGGGACCGTGAGGGAACAATTTTATTTCCTTTGGTTTAATTCTTTAAAACTTTTCTACTGAGATTCTGAAGTTTCATTTCAAAACTTTTTGGGTTCACACAGCAAGGAAGGTTGGACACTATTAGCATTTGTTAATTTCTGGACTCTGAAATAGAATGAATTAGAATGAAACTCATGGGAATTAGTATCCGCAATTCATAGCTGGGGGTCTGAGGTTCTGTCCTTTACACTGTTGACAGCTGAACCATTAGAGCTGCTTGCTGGGGCATATAAAGCGTTTTCCTGCTTGAATTATTCCACCTTACTTAGGAACTTCATACAGGCAAAGTGTGTGGGGTCAGAGCCGTGCAAGAACAGGCTGAGGAACCAAGTCTTGAGTTGCTCTGTGGTTTGTTAAAACATACTCCTAAAATTTGTTGGGGACCTAAGTCCCATGTTCTTTGTTGGGAGAAGGGTGGATGTGTAAATAACACAGGTGGTACACTGGACACCGGTACATGGAGCCAGACTCCACGTTGCTCTTTTCCATGGAAAGAAAATTCACACCTGAATTGCTCTCAACTTGTTCCCCTGTCTAGTAATGAAGCAGAAGTACCACACTTTGTGGCTGTGATTAACAGCAGCTTATAGGTGTTAAATGAATTCAGTGGAGTTTTGGGATTGGGAGGAGGTGTTGAAAGTGACACTTTATTGTGAAGTGAAACCTAAGTTGCTAAGTATTAAATACTGCACTGTTTTCTCTCTGTTGCTGCCACACAATTGCAGTTGTCTGAACTGAAAGTAAAAAAAAAAACAAATTGGATGAATTCATAATCAGAAATTGCAGTACAAGCTCTCCAAGTATTCTGGAGGCCTCTGAAAATTCTGCTAATAGCAAACTTTTGGTAATAATACATTCTGAACTGCTGCTGCCTGCCATCTGCTTGTGTATATATAGTGTATATATAGGCCTGGGGGCCTTTCAAGATTTTGTTTGTAATCATAAAAGGTGCAAATTTTTGTTTTGTTGCCTTACCAAAGCTGTGATTCCCGTGTACCTTCTGTTTTCCATGAGCTGGCCTCAGGCTGCAGGGCACTCACCTCATGAAGCTCTCTGCGTAATCGTCAGACAGCCATTGCATTTCTCAGTGTTTTGCTGCAACTGGAGGATTAGTCACTGCTGCTTTTTTGAAAGCAACTGTTGAAAATAGCTTTTTTCAGCACTGGAAAAATGTGCTTTTCTATACTGAATCATTTCTCTGCCTTCAGACTGTGTTGGGTGCTGGCTTTCATTGAGCAGAGGGGAAGTTGAAGTCTTGAGTGTGTTTTTGATTAATGTATGTTGGCATATAACAACATGTCTATTAACCAGAAATAATGTATGTATATGTACATATATATGAAGAAAATGGTCTGAAAAGCTGAACAAATAATTGCACTTATCCCCATGGACCAAGGCATCAGGTTTTGGTTACCCCCCCAAATTTGAGAAGCCATAAAAAGTGCTCAGCAATCCGCATCACCTGCAGCTTATGTTGTGTTTACTCTGTGTTCAGAGGTGGACGTGTGTCACCCTGAGTTTTTAAGATTTTCTAAGCCTTCTGATGTTGACATTCTTGTAGTGAATTTTCTCACACACTTTCTGTAAATAACTTATTGTTTTGCATTCCTTTATGGAAGAGGAGAGAGTTGATAGACTGTTGGTTTAACCAGTGGCATTGGAGAGGTGCCACTGTCACCCTCCAATCCACTGTCACTTTTGGAAAACTATAAATGTTGGAGTCAGAAAATAAACGGCCCTTTTCTCTCTTTCACCTTGAGAACGGTGTGAGCGTGTGTTCCTTTGTGTCCTATAACGACAGACGTGTTGCTTTTGCCCTTGTTCTGAGCTTCCAGAAGGTCTTCAATATTTGAATATTGCAGTAGGGATTTCCAGGTTTGGCGTGCTGAGGTGGGAATGGCGTGTGGTGTTTGCTGTGCTGTGCTTCAGCGATGGGTGACATTAGCACTGTGGGTGCTGTACGCATACAGCTCTATTTGCCTATTTCCACCTTCCTTGCCCATGAGGTAAGAGAAGGAGGAACTTTCAGCCTGAGTATTGAATCCCAGGATTTGGAAAACTGGCAGGGGAGGAACTCTGACACTATTTGTCAGCAGAATGATGAAGGGTGGTATGGAAATGGATGAGAGCTAAGGCTGTGAAGGCCCAGAGTGCCAGTTTTTACTGCCACTGCCCCTCTCTGGCTCCTTTCTTGCTCTGGGCTCCAGTTGCTGACTTCTGCTGTACTCGTGTTTTTACCTTCTGCTTTGCTGTTCCTTGTAGTGAAAAGTTCTTTGTGCATATTTAAAAATTTGTCCCTCAGTTCTCTTGCCTCGTTCTGCAATGTCAGTTTCCTTTTCCTTTGTTTATTACCACTTCAGGTTTAATTTTAAATACAAGTTGTTTGTTTTTCTAAAAAAAATTGATTTCCTGTTTCCAAGAGGAACAGTCCTGGATGTTTTCCATTCCACTTTTTTCTCTTTACCTGTAGGCAATCTGTAAAAACTAAGCAAGAAGGAAAGCATGTAGCAGGCTATTGCTGGGAATATGGAATGTGTCTGGAGGAAGGGATAAGTGGACAAGATCAATACTTTTTTTTAAACCAAAATACTCTTGCTTTTAAAAGGAACACCAAAGTTGCTTTTCTATATATACGCTTAAAATCTCTAATGCTTGGAAGGATAAGTGCTTTTGGATGTGAATGCTGCCTGGAGGAGCACAGCATCCTCCTGCATGGCAGGTTTTAGGGCCTGTCCCTGTGTGTGGGGGAAGTTGGGCCTATGGGAGGTGCAAGTCCTGTTTAATTATTTTGCCCTGCTGCTCCTGTGACGTCTGTGCAGGAAAAAACCCCTGATGCCAAATACTTTTGGAAGAACATATCAATGGATGCTTTCACAGCGGGTGTTATGACTAGCAGGTGGTAGAACATTTTAATTTTGTTTATGAAGGCTCAAATTAATTCACAAGCACGTGCATACTCCCTTACAATTTTCAACAAACCTCTCTGTATGATCAAGCCCTCAGTTATGCAGTCTTTTGATTTGTGGCACTTCACAAAGTAGCGTTGCAAATAATCTCACAAATAAATCTAATGTAAACTTGGTGCGTGCCAAGTTCTTTGTTTTAGTTGGATGCCTATTGCAAGGTGCTTCCTGAAATTTTTGTAAGAAATATAAGAAATTTGACTTGTAAATTTCAGCCTTATTTAAAATAAAGAACAATCCTGCTTCCCAGAGGAGAAATAAGCCTGCAGAAGGTAGATATGGTTTTATAAGATTCTTCAAAGCATGAGAAGAATGGGAATGAGCTTCAAGTTGAACCCTCAAGCATGTGCACCTTCTTGGCAATAAAGTAGGACAATAAAGGAAAACTCTCCTTTCCTGTTTGAGGCTAAAAATTACTCCTCTGCTGGAGTTTGGTGATTGGCTTGGCTTTTTCTTTTTTCCTCCTACTGATTCTTTTTCTGATATAATTTTTCCTTAGGGTGAAAAGTTTGGCCCCTTTGCAGGGGAGAAGCGAATGCCGCAGGAAGTGGATGAGAGCACAGACTGCAGGCTCATGTGGGAAGTGAGTACAGTGACTTCACTGCACCTTGCACCAAGTGTTCTCACAATCAGGTTTTACTGTAACAAATCCTTTCTGTTTTGTGTCGTAGCTTAAAGATCCTGTAGTGAGATTTTGTATTTTTAAATTACGCTGCCTGGGTGGAGGAGGATTGACTGCTTTAAAGCTAAAGAAAAAACAAATGATGCTTTCTAATCGATGAAGTGTGAAAAAACATCAAGTCAAGCCAAATACAAATATAGTAACACTGTGAAAAATCATTAAAACATGTGAAAATAATTAGAAAAATTAATTTGAATTGGGAAGCAGATTGTAAGTTACAGAGATACTGATTTATGCTAATCAACAGGTACCAGCTTATGGCTTCCTTCTGCTGTAATATGAAACATTTCCCAGTGTGACACTTGTGTTGGGATTTGGATCAAACTGCATGAGCAAAGTTTTAAAATTTTACCAGTTTTTAATGCAATGAGTAGGTGTGAGCTCTTTAGTAAAATAGAAGCCTGGTGCTGTGGGCAACTTTTTATTTTTTATATGCATTGGGCAGGAACAGCAGTTGATGCACTAGTTCTTGTATTTAGGTACATAACCCGTCCTAGCTCCTGTTGTTCCTCTGTGTGCCTGAAGTAAAATATGAGTTCACCAGTTGAGGAGATTACACTGACTGAAAAATACTGGCAATAACAACATTTCCAACTTGATACAAATGCCTTCTTTCCAGTGCCTGTTTTGTCTTTGTAATCTTTATTTACTGCTGTAGTTGTTTGAGCAGAATTTTTTTTTATTTTTGTTTTTTTCCTTTTTTTTTTCTCCTCAGCCAAGCAGTTTCTATTGAATGCACATTTAGTCCTCTTTAACACCAAGGAGAAGACTCATTTCTTACTTTTGTACCTTTCTCTGCTTAGAGGTGGAAGGACTGTTTACTGCATGGTACAAAAAAACCTTATGTTTGACATCTGGCTTAAAGCACTATCAGAGCATTTAGCACAAAATACATGTTTATTTGAAAAATCTCTGGTATTAACATCCCTGAGCAGCTTATGAAGAGAGCAGAGTATTGATGCAGCCCTAGCAGAGCTACAGATAGATTCCATGCCCTAGAAAGATGTGAGAATGTTGAAAGCCCATCTCTTTTAACCCAAGCTCAGTGTAAATATTGTGAGTGATGAAATATCCCTAGGTGATTGCTAGCTCCAGCCTGTGAAGCTCTGTTTTCTCCCTTTCTTCTGTTGATTTCAATCTAGGGGTGTGCCCCAAATGCCCTTTCCCAGAGAGGAGGTGTGGATCATTCGTTCCCCTTTCCCTTTTGGGTTATGTACTCAGAGGAGCCACTTCCATCCTCTTTGTTCCCAGCTGGACCCAGAGCAGTACAGTGTGCTCTTATTGCAGGTGTTTGCTGAGCACAGTCCATGTTAGTGTGCCCTGGCTCACTTGGCCCTTCCTGATGTTTCTGCAGGTTGTTTCAAATCAGTGAAATGCTTGTGCTAGAGCAAGGTTTTCAGAAGAGACAGTGGGTGGATTACAACAGTGAGAAGGCCTTTAGGTTTATTGGAAAGCTTTATGATTTTCCAGATTCCTCATTGCTCATACTTAACTAGATTTATCTGTTTCTGCACGACAGGAAAGAAAAGGCAAATACATTTATTTATTGGTGACACTAATGTGACCCCGTTGACAGCAAATCAGAAAATGAGGTTTTTATGAGCTGTTTTAAAATCATTTCATAATATCTTACTGTAACCTAGTTTTGAGAGCCTTGAAAAGATTCCTGCATACCAAATTTTATGACTTCCTGAATGTTTTAAACCAAGTTGTTCATGTTTACTGAAGTTGATCTGAACGTGAGCTTTATAATATAATTTAAATCATGCTGGGAGTAGTCTGAAGTTGAAAATTGAGACCAGGAATGCAGAAAGTAAGACTTGAACAGCCCAAGTAGATGGTTATTCCAGAGCCTGTGGGAAGCACGCACAGAAACTGGCCAAGTTTGTGTGTAGTCAGCTGTACCAAAGATATTAAAAATAATTAATTTGAAGGCTATTGGCGGGAGGCACACTAAAGCCTGACTTCACAGTCTGATGGCAGTCAAAAAAAAAATGTTTTCAGAGAGAACACCTTCAGAAAGAAGTCTCAAGCAGTAGAGGCTTTTTGTAAGTCAAGGAAAAAAATTGGGCATTATTGCAACATTTCTCTCCTTGGCATGTGATGCCTGGGATCCAGGCTGCAATTTTATGGAATATTTTGCTGTGAGGAAGTCTGCCACATGCATTTCTAGTTGTGCAGAGCAGTGCTCTGTGATGTGGTCTGTTTTGATCCAGCCTTTCCTTTTTCTCCGAGACCAGCACTGCGAGTTGGCATCTCTGGGGCATCGCGTTGAGATGGAATTGCCCGCCTTGTTTTTGTTTGGTCTCAGGGAAAACGTGGCACCTAGAACATTTACTGAGCCCAGTGATTTTGTGCAGTAAAATACTGAAGATGGTAGAGTTTCTACTTAAATTAAATATAGCAGAATGCCATTACTCTGTCTGTAGCATGCATAGTTGTGAAGAAATCAAAGGTTTATACTTGCTCATTCAACAGATTCCTGGGAAGTGGAAGATTCCAATGGGTGGGAAGCATCCTTGATCTTGCTGTTATCTTTGTAAAGAGCTACAGGCTGAAATGTTTTATTTATGAGTGGTGTGAAAGGGAAAAAAAAACCCTCAAACAAGCCTGTGGTAGCCATTTAGTTAAGAGTGATAATAAAAAGCCAAGAAAATGTCCAAATGGCTTTGTGCTTTCTCTTTCTTTTTGTTAAGAAAACACCTCTGTGTTATCCCCTAGCTCTCTATCCCTGTACTGGTGAAGGACGTTTATTATTTTATCACCAGCTTGTTGCTGGTGATCAATTAAGAGTTGTGTTCTTACAGCTTGATTAAATACTTCTTTGTGTGTATCAGTAAACTTGGCACAGCAGCTTTGAACTGTATTTGCTGGAGAAGCAAGTGCTTAAAGGCAAGCAGGAAATAATCTTCAGGTTAGAAGTTCACAGACATTTTTGCTGTGGAGGCTCAGATGTGTCTTTGTGAAGGGAAGATATCAGTTCATTTATGCATGTTCAGTTCCTTTTCTTCATTATCCTTAACCAAGAAAGGGGAATTCATTTCACTCCTACTGGATTGTGGCAGGCATATACTTCTGGTGATGACTTTGGCAAATGCTGAAACAGGGAGCGCTGGAAAGATTTGGTCCTCCTTCAAATACTCTGACATTCCATGAAGAAATGTTGGTCAGGGTTGGATGGAACATAATACACCATGTAATGCTGAATGTTACATATTTCGGGTTGGGTTTCTGTCTATCTGCCAGGATCATGTTTTCTTCATTGTTACATTAAAACCAAAGAGATCTGAAAACGGTCTTTCAATGGAAGCCAATGTTTGTGTTTATTTATATAAGAAAATGAAATGAACTTACATTTCTACTGCTTCGTTTGCATCACTTTTGCTGTGACAGTTGTTTTCAGTTAAATAAGCCTGCATGAAAACTGGTGAGGGCAACAGAAAATCTGCTACTCACTGCAGCCAGCTTCAGATCAGAGCTGTGGTGTTTAGGATTGAGGTATAACAAGTCAAGCGCATTAAGCTTGGTGTGTTTTGGTGACTTTGTTTTTTTTTTTCTTCTTTCTTTGATATCTTGCCTATAAAAAGTGCTTCTGGCATAGGAGGAGGGCTCTTAGACACAAGAAATTAAGTCAACTGATGTCCATTGATTCATGATGAAATAAATCTTAATTAGATGAATTCTGTGTTTGCTGTCAAGGTGAATATAGTACTATAAATCTAATTCTGAACAATATAGTCTTTAATTTTTCTGTGTGTAGACTACCTTCCCAGTGATTGTTCCTCAAATACTGTTTACATTGAAAACTGTTTGCTTTTAAATGTTTTTGGCTGAATCTTTGTTTAATTTTCAGAAATGCTTTTGCTTTTCTCATTTCTTAGATGGTCTGGGCTTTTACACAAATCAGAAATTGGTGCAGTATCTCAGCTGCAAGTCTACATCCCAGAATTTCAATTTTAGTAAATTATTCTCAAATGGGATAGATAGATGTCCAGAGTAGCTACTAATGCTATAATCAACTCTGTTAAAACTTGCTTTAGTCATCTTTTTCCATGTTAAATGTATGACTTTGTATTAATTTCAGTGACTTTTGGAGCAGGCCCATTACTGATCTCTTGGTTTGTGTGATGAGAAGGATCTACTCCTGAGAGTAGCTGAGAATGTGAACCTCCCATCTTCAGCTATGGGACGTGTTTAGGATGCTGCAAGGCACGTGCTGCTCGGCCGAGGTGTTGGTATTGCAGTCTGAACTTGCTGTAGAAGATCACACACAGGAGAGAGGGAGATTTGGGAATCATTCCAGGGAAAGGCAAGTTCAACCCTGCTCCTGAAAGCTCCACAATTTGCAGGAGTCTAGGAGTGAGCCTCCTCTACCCCTCTGTCCCTGGCAGGGTCAGGGAATGTCAGGCACCGCAAGGAGCTTCATTACCGTGGCAAACTTGCTGTGTGTTTTGGCTGATGGAAAATGTCACATGCTGTCTCTGTCCCGGACTTCTTACCGAGCAAGCAAATCAGCAGTTGCTGCCTCAGGTTTCTTTTGCTGGAGTTATTTAAAATATCTCCAGCAATGTTAAAATGTGAATTTCCACTCTGCAGTGAGCTCTCTGATAGTCTGAACTCAGGATGCAGAAGTATTGCATCTAGCTGTTTTATGCTGCAGCAATAAAGATCATATTTTCAGCTAATCCAAAAAGAAGCAGTGCAGAAACCAGTACTTTTCTCTACATGATTGTTTGATGAACGTGGATTTTTTGATTTAGAAATGTTTAGGAAATTGTTTCCAGAAAGCAGCTTAGGTGTTATTTAGGCCTGTGTAGGGTTTCATATGGGGAGCTCATACATTGACCAGGGACACATCTTCTCCTGAACTCTTCTGTTCCTGAATGCTTCTGATGCTTGTTAATGTGGCATCATTGCAATTGTCCTGATTGCCTTTGAGGTGGAACCTCGCCCTGTGCGGTGACAGTGAATGTCGTGTGTTTCCTCTTACATTGCAGGCATTTGGCTGAATTAGTGCAGTGACACCTTTTGTGTTGATTCTCAAGAAGATAGTTCTTGGGCACCTCAGTTTGAGGTACATGGAGTGGATATGTGTATCCATTTGAGGTGCTGGTTTTAAGTGCTAGGTTTGGGATCCACTGCCCTCAGTTCATTTAGGAGCCTTCTCTTGATGCAACCAGGAAAGCACTGGTTCATGTCACCAGTCTAGTCCACACAAAGTGCAGTGTTTTTGCACTTTTTCTTGACTTCTCATGCTCACATCTGTATATTCAATGCAGCATTAGTTCTTTATGAGGTGAAAGAAGCAGTGGAAAATACAGAATGTTTTTAAGGGATTTATCATATTCCTTTATCGATAGTTTCCTTATGTGTTAAAGCTCTGCTTCGTGTTTGGCATCTCTCTGTGGATTGCCAGAGACTCTGTAAGCATAACTGAGATGACTGTGTATCACCGAAGCAAATATAAATTATATCATTTAAGGATCAAGCCAATAAAGAAAAACTGATGAAAAGTTAGATAGTGTAATGTATAGTTTTTATAATAGGACCTGGATTGCTTCTCATTCCAACTGAAAATGTGATGGAAGCCTTTCTAGGATCTCCATGGTGGGCTCCTGTAACTTGTGCTTTGGTAGCTAAAGCACAAAGCCTCTGTGGAGGTGGGTGATTATTACAATATCCCAGAATAGTTTGGGTTGGAAAGCACCCTGAAGACCATCCAGTCCAGCCCCCCTGCCAGGGACAGGGATGCCACTGGTTAGATCAGGTTGCTCAGGGCCCCATCCCATCTGGCCTTGAACACTCCCAGGGTTGGGACATGCAGGGCCTCTCTGGGAAACCATTAGTGCTTAGTGTCAGATAATATTGTTTCCAGATGCATTTCAATGTGTAGGTTTGATACTTTTCACTGTGGTTAATCCATGTGTTGGAAAGTAAGAGCTTTTAAAGTTTGAATGTTGGCACCTTTTCATGATGTGTCCTTTTTCCTTCAGAAGAGCAGTAATGACTTTTGAAGATCCTTATTTGTTTGCAGAACTACAGTAATTCTTTTTTTGCTTAATCTGAGAACAACGTGCTGTCACCAGCTATTACTGTAATGGAATACAGTTTTTGTCTTTTTAATGATACCCTAAATGTTTAGGTAATTGAAGCAGTCATACTGAAGAAATATGATATTGCCTTCTATTAGAAACAAATAGAGCAAGAATGTGAGCAATTCATATACAAAGCCACGAAGACAATCTAATTTTGATCTTACATAGCCAAATTCCCTAGCTCTTAGCAAATACCTGCCCTGGATACTTGTTGCTGACAGATGGAAAATAAAATCCATTCATTATATAAATAAATCACATGGAACAATAGTGTGGCTCTATGACCTTTTTGCATGGCTCTCTGTTGTCTGGATCAGTGGAGATTCAAGTTATCTATTATTTAAAATGAAACAAAAGGGGTTTTTTGGCAGTGACAGATATATTTTTACAGCAGTATGTCTTTGTGTTTAGGGGGAAGAATGACTTAGTTAATATTAAGTTTTTGTTCCTATTATCTTCCTTTTTTTCAGTGTAAGCTGGAATTCTGTCAAAATTGTAGAAGCCATACGAATGATATGGATCTGTAATGGTAGCCAAAAGGTCTCAATATGGAGATGGATGTATCTTGTGTGCCCAATTCTTTTTTTTAAGTGTTTTTTTTTTCACTGAGTGGACAAAACCTGGACATATTTGGTTTTTGAGTTTTAATTTTGCTTGGGGATTTGTTTTGAATGTTTCAGGTTCGTGGGAGCAAAGGCGAGGTCCTTTATATCCTGGATGCCAGCAACCCACGCCATTCGAACTGGCTGCGCTTTGTCCACGAGGCTCCATCCCAGGAACAGAAGAACCTGGCAGCCATCCAGGTAGATTTGGTGGATTTCTACCATTTGCTTCCTGTTACTCATTTACTAATTTGAGTTCCTCCTCTTTGGCCTTCTTGTAATAAAATTGCAAGATCTGAGCAAAGTAGTGAACTGCTTTTCTCTTTCTGCCTTGGTTTTTAGAAGAGAACTCTTCTGCTTAAGGTAATACCACAAATAAGAGTGGTAGGATGAAAGACCAGAAAAGTCCTTGGAATCTGATGCTATTTGAAAGGTTTAAGTATTATAATTATTTAGAGACCTGTGTGTGTTTCATGCCAAACTTGGGTATGGGCTTACTTGTGTGTAAAGCAGAATCATGCATTTTTCATTATTGTTCAATAAAATCAGTAATATATAATATAGATAACATATTATATAATTAATCATGAAAGTGTGACAGGATTGAAAGGAGTCATGGTGCTGAAAATATTTAAGTAGAAAACAGAAAATCGAACAATCTTAGTTGTCTGATAGGATGATCATATAGTGCCTGAGGATAAATTAATAAAAAAAGTTAATTTACTTGTCTTTGCTGTTGATCTGAATGTATCCAGCTTATTTTTTCACTTTTATAGTTGTCATTTGCAGCACTCTCTGGTAATGAGTTCCACTGCTTTAATTATGTTGAAATATACTTCTGTTTTTCTTTTAGACACTCCTTAATTTCACTTGATTTCCTGGTTCTGGTATAACAGTGAATAGTTACTTTATTTTTCTGTGCCATCTTTGGTTTTATGGAATTCTATTATATCCTTTCACTCTTATTTGACAGTCCTTCTCTCAAGCTGGAGAGTCTTATTCTGTTTAATTGCTCATTTTTGGCAGCGTTCTGTGACTTTACAGGATACAACAGAGACAGGGATACCTTTCCAGTGCCAGCTGTTGTTCTTTTGGAGATTATTAAAGAAATTAGCTCTCTGCTTTTTTTTTAACAGCTCAGTTCCGCAGTAAATTAATTTCCACTCCCACATAAATAAGAATTACATGACTCTGTGCATTTTTTTTTTTCTCAAAATGTATGCTTTACAAAATGTTGTTTCAGGCTAACTTAAGGTATTTGCTGATGTAATCCAAACTGGAAAACAATCAGGAAAAGGAGAATTATTTATCAGCATTTCTTAAAATGACTGTTCTGCTTTTTCATAATGAGATGACTGTCTTCCTCCAGGATTAGCCCCTGTGTCCCTGACAAAATAATTATAGTTTATTTTGAGGCCAGACAAAAAAATTTTGCTTTTTCTATGCCAAGAAAGCAGAAGTTTGTTTCTGATGAAATTTCTTGTCCTCCTTATGGCAGCAGACATGAAGGGCTCTCATACAGGAGGTGTGATTAGCGCCTCATCAGTGCACAGTCATTGTCAGCAAAGGCAAAGTAAGGCTCACAGGAGAGAGCAGTGGGAAGAATTCATGTTCATGATTATCTTTCCAGTAAATGACCTGAACTTCTGAATAGAAGTTTTAATGGAATATCCAGTGCATGCCAGTGGGTTTCTTTATAAGGAAAATTATAGAAACGAATAAAAATTTGCTAAATTATCTCACAGGGTTTTTTAGGACTTTAAAGCCTATCCTAATACAGAGTATTCAGATGGTAAAATATTCTAGCCTTCATTGGGAGCTATTACTGAAAACTGGAGCATGGAGAAATGCCAGAATTGCTGTAGTAGTTTAGCCTTGTGTTCTGTTCAGTGTCACATTTGTGTCTCAGAGGTTTTCTGCCTTGCCATGCAATCTAACACCATAGGAATAGATCAGGAGAGAGAGCTGAGGCTTCTGGAGCTTGTGTGTGTGTGGTTCAGGTGCTGTATTTTAGATGAGGTATAATCTGAAATCTGGGCTGTGTGTGGGAGTGTGTGAAATCATCTCCATGCATTTCCTGCATTGCAGTTTCTGCCCTCAGACATTGCCAGTGTTGGTTTTACCTCTGCCAGAGCTGGCATCCTGGAGCTGCAGGGGAGGGCTGGGAAAGGCAGTGTGCTTGTTGGGAGAGGTAGCCAGGGAGAACTGGCACAACAGGTAGGCTGAAGAGCTGGTTTGCTGCCAGGAAATCAGATACAGAGGGGAATCAGGTAACACTCTGAGGGCACAGAGGCAAAGTGGGTAAGGATTAGGAAGGCTGGGTTGGAGCCAGCTGTTGAGGTTCTGAAGGGTGGAAAAGCCCTACACTCCCTCAGGTAACACAAGGCTGTGCTGCTTCCTCCTCCTGTGTTCTAGACTTGCAGGAGTGATGAGTTAAGTGTTTTATGCTTTTGATTAAAGTGTGATGGGCTGTCGGTGGTCCTGTGTTCCCTCTTACAAAGCAGATATCAAGGTGTTGAACTGTATGGAAAAGCCAAGAGTCTGCATGGAAGACTCCTGTAGTGGACCAAAAAGGAGATGGCAAGGGCTGTTGGGACTGGAAAATTGTATTTGCTGAGCAGGTCTGGTGGCTTATGGTGTAAAAGAGGACAGTGAAGTCCAAGGTGAGAAAAACATAATTGAATAATAAACCAGGAATAACAGGAAGGGAGGTTGTGATGCCACTGCGATGAGCAAGCGCTTGGAGTTTTCTCCCAAGGACAGTTGTGGTTTGCTGCAGCTGAGAGTTAGGAAAACAGCCAGCACATGGGCAGGTGGAATGGCTGCTGATGTGTTCTTAGAAACAGGGGGGTTATTCAAATAATGTAAAAGACTGTTTACTGTGTCTGCATGCATGTAGATTCATGTGATTCATACAGGTGCTGCTGGTGGGGAGAGAGATGTGAATTGTTTTGTGGTTTCTGGAGAGCTTCCATTGCTTTCACTCAAAATGCTGCCTTGAGGAGCTACTACAGCCAGTGGGTATATCTTGATTAATTACCTCTCTGAATACCTGGCTGTTAGGATTTGTTTGGATGGAAAAGCCAAACAAATTAACCTTGGAGGAGAAATGAGTTTAGATTGGGCTGACACCAAAGCTAATTTCTTTCTAATGCAAATGTAACCCAGAGCATTCAAACATTGACAGCTCCTAGTACTTGGGGCTTTATTTTTGCCTGGGATACATGACTTTTTCTTTTTTTCTTTTGATTTCCAAATTTTCAAAATCTTTAATTTTTTAATTCTTTCTGTTATTATTTTTGGTAATCCAATAATAGAGATGTGCTTCCCTTCATGAGGTTGTCTTGCTTTTCGAGTAAGGTTGTCCTAAAGAGTGATGTATTTGAGTTTTACCCCAATGGTTTTGTCCTGTCTCTGTGGAGACTGAGTGTAGAAAGACCTCCTACTTTTCCTCATGTCAAGAGGATTTGTTTTGACTTTCGACAGTATTAAATTAAAGGTTTCTGCAACTTGACAGAGACATATGAAACCCAGCGACTTGTAGATGGGTACAGAGGTTAGGTTGGTGTGCTGATAGATATCTGGACTGCTGAATAGATCTTGAGGAAAAAAAAAAAAAAGATAATTTTTTGTTTTCCAATGCTGCTGTTGTGATAAGGACAGAAAAGTGGTGCATCGTTGAAAATAGCAGCTCTATCCAGTCTACTGAATTAAGTAGGCTTCACTCCTGTGTGACAGTATCTTGTGTAAAATATAACAGACCTCCTGCAGCTCAGGGAATGCTGCATCCCTGTTGACAGTTTAAATTAATCTTAGTGTATTACAAAAATTAAAAATCATTATCTTGTCCTTGCCCAAGGAAGCTTGTTACAAAATGTATGGCTAGGTGCAGGGCAAAGAAGCTTCAGTTAACTTTCCTGGGTGTTACTCAGATAAGATTTAAGATTTATGATAGAACTGGGAGTCTTCATTGCATAGAAATGAGTCTCCTTCAGTGCTTTGGGCAGTACCTAAAGCAGTTGGTTCACATATAGAAAGAAGAAAAGGCATCTCTGTCCCACAGAATATCAGTTTAGGGGACAGATGTACAGATTCCTCCCCACACCCCACAGTGCTAGCCTTGGTAACTAATTAGGTAGTGTCAAAGCCCAAAGTTGTTAGCTTATGTAGCTACTTGGAAGCTTGTCCAGGCACTATCAAGAAGCTTTTGGAGCTTTTTGTTTCGTGGTTTGTGCTGTTGTGCAGAATGGGGCTGGATCCTTTGGCCTTTTGTGGATCCACACTGATTTAAACAAGCACAGGGTTTAAAGTACATTTTCCAGATGTGCCTGCTAATTTGGTAGCGAAGATAACTGACCAGGGTGAAAGCATGTTGGAGAAGGCTGGGAATCTTGAGGAGAGGGAGAAAGAGAAAATAACACTATGTAAACATGCTGCTGAAAGCTGTGATAGAATTCCTGCAGTCAGCGGGGAGAGAGATAAAGCTCTGTTGGTTATCTCAATTGTGCTGTTTTTCTAATCCTCAAATATTTCATTTTCAACCCTGAAGTTCTTGTCAAGTGGAGTGTGGCAGGAAAGTACTTTAGTGCCATCTCCACCTTGGTCTAAGCTACAGGGAATAGTGGAAAAGCCTCACAGGTGAGGCAGGGGAATATTCCCAAAACAGCAGAATACAAATGCACCCTATCCATGCAGCCACTCTGGCAATGAAGTCTTTACCAAGGCTGTTGTAGGATTGTGCTTCCTGAGGAGTGGAGCCAACCCTTCCCTGGTTGAGGGATAATATTAGTTTAGGGTTTCTTACTTGTCCAGATTTTTGTTTTTCTGACATAATTGTTTATTGCCTCTACTTCCTGTTTGCAACAGGAGGGGGAAAATATTTTCTATCTGGCTGTGGAAGATATTGAAACAGACACAGAACTTCTGATTGGCTACTTGGACAGTGACATGGAAGAAGAGGAGGAGGAGGAGGAAGAAGTGACTGTTATCCAGGAAGATGAAGACAGTGGCAGCAATAAAGAAGTTCAGCCAGCTGGTGAAAAAATTGCAGGTGAGCAATATGTAAAATATAGTGTAACTTGAGAGCTTGAAAGTGGTGATGAAGAAAGAGAACACTAACTGTACAGGACTGGGGAACTGAAAAGTCCCTGGGGTTGAATCTGAGTTCTTGCATTTTGTTTCTCTCTTTTTTTGGGGGTTGGGTTGAACTTCTTTGCCTTATAAGGAGCAGCAAGTCTTGTGAATTACTGAGTGAATGAGTGAGCCTGGATTTCTTAAATAGTAACCATTATTTTTTGAACTGAAGACAGAGTTTGTTTCACCTGACACACGGGCTTATGAATGCAGAGCTTTTGCTCTAAGAGGGGTAATTTCTTTCTTACTTAGTGGGAGAGAAATAAACCTTCCAATAGAGCTATTCAGCCAATCCTAAGGTGTGTAGGAAAAGGAAGGTGAGCTGAGCTGTCTGGGGAATTCTCAGCATCTTTGTCCAAGATGAAGATGAATTCATAAATGACTAACTGCATTGAGGTTCTGATTGAGTTGAATCACTAATTTGGGCCAACAGTCTAAGTCATGCCCAGCTTAACACTTGCCATCTATTTTCAGTAATGCTGATGGTAATTCACTTGAGATAGGCTGTCTGTAATCCTTTCAGAGACACTGTTTTTTGTGAGTTTCATGCCACCCTTTTGCCTACTCTATTTCTGGCAGAGAGTCTCTCTCAATGTAACCAAAAAACCCGGGATCTACTCCTTTACATTGGTGTTGCTTCCCTTCATGCAGATCCCCTCACCTGTAAACAGGACCACGCATGCCCAAACTGTGAATCCAGTTTTGCCAGCCAGGAGATCCTAGCTGAGCATCTGCAGACTTTGCACCAAAAACCCAGTGAGGAAAAGGAATTTAAGTGCCGAAATTGTGGAAAGAAATTCCCTGTTAAGCAAGCTCTACAAAGACAGTGAGTAGAAACAGCAGTGTTTTTCAGGGATCATTTAAATCAATTTCATTCAAGCTTTTGCTTCTCTTGACCTAATCACAAGCTAGGCTTTAATTTTTATGCATCTCTATTTATAACCTTACCCTCTGCTTTAATCTTTTAATGTCTTAATTTCTCATATTGGTTGTAGAATTCAATGGGAATTGGAAAAATATTGACAATTTTTTGTGTGTTAAAGTCATACACTGGAGACCAGACCAGAGCAACAGTTTGGTGCAGGATTACTGGTCTCCATCAGTGGAATATTTAGTAGTTTAGGAGTTGTGATTTTCAAGCTGTGGATGCTGGTACAGAATTAAAGTAAGATTTAAGGAAAATAAAAGGAAAACCAGCGCTTTAGGTTCACTTAATTAAATATTTACATGATGGAAAAACAAAAATGGAAACGTGAAAGATGTGAGATTTAAGAACGCTTGTTGTCCTTGAGAGTATAAATATGCAGGTTTGTCACTAGAGTCATATATCTTAGAATTATGCTTCTGCACAGAAACATAACTGGGTTTCTTTTGTTGTTTATATATGGATCTTCTTACAATTAGATAGATATATTACTTTTTATTATACATTTAATCACAGATTGTAAACCTACTTTTTCTAAAGGTATATGCAGTTGGTAGTTACTGCAAGCCTGTGTAAGTTGTAGAATGTTGCCCTTACTTTGTTTTTTCCCTTTTTTTGTCTCTTAGTGTCCTTCAGTGCACAGAGAATATCAGCCCAGGAGACTCCTCAAGAAGTTTCCAGTGCTCTGTTTGCAATACTGCCTTCAGCTCGGAATCGAGGTTTTGTGTCCGAGTTACAGGACTGCTGTCATGTCCTTGCTGGCCTCCCTTTGCATGTTAGCTTTCCAAAAGCTTGGTAGTGTTTGGGAATCCTAACAGGGCAAGGACTCAAATGCTTTCATTCCTCTCTGCTGTAAGTAATGCATGAGGTGGCCTTGGAATTCTGCAGTGCAGCATGTGTTCAGCTCTGAGTACTTGCTACAGCTCTGGTTTCTGGAGAGACTGCCTGATCTGGGTTTTTGTTTTTTTTTTTTTCCCTCTCTTTGTTATGCCATGTAGTTATGAGCAGCACAAGGAGGCATGCAGAGGAGATGCCAGGTTCATATGCAAGGCAGATAGCTGTGGGAAGAGGTTCAAGAGCAAGGATGCCCTGAAAAAACACAAAGAAAATGTTCACAGTGGTAAGAAAGAGTTTAATGTTCCTTCAGAAAAAATCCCCACTGACGTGTTCCTAGCCTTAAATTTGCAAATCAGAGTAAACATTGTCTTTGATTTCTTTTTTAATGGATTCATTTGTATCAAATAGAAAATTACAAAGTAAAAGAAGTAACTTAATTGCAAGAGTTAGTATTCCTCCTCCCGCCCCAGGAGAAATTACTCTAGGCCACATGAATCATTAGTCTCCTGCAGAAAATGTAACAGGGATCTTGAGAAGTTTAAACTAGGCAAAGAGCAGATGAAGCAAAATGTTTCAGGAGTGAGCAAAATCAACCACCGGCGCAGGAAATGGTGAGTTCTTGATTTTTTTGGCCTTTTCAGGACACAATAAGTTGTCTTTTCTTTGCCTAATCAAACAATTAAGCTTGATGAGGGTTGCATAAAACTCTGTAGCATCTGTTTTGCAGGAAGCCAGACCAGACCATCCACTGGTCCTCTTAGGCCCTGGTGTTTTCATATCTGTTTGGGTGGTTTTCGCTGAAATGTCACCCTCTTCTCATGGAAGGGCAAAACACTGCTCTCAGGTCCACAGCACAGATCCCAATTCTGGCATTCTGCACTCTGTTTGTGTGCCCCCTCTCCTTGTCAAAGGAATACCTTTATGTGTGGGGACAACAGAATTCCAGAGTGCACAGAAAACAGTCTTCAGCTGATGGTGACAGCACTGAGATGCTTTTGAAGGTTTTCAGTCTCTTTCTGCTGCCAAACTCTTGCAGTGTAGAGAAACCTTTCTGTAATATTCTTACAAAAATGATCCCCTTTTTTTGGTATCAGTAATAAATTTTTTCGTCTATGAACACTGTTATATTTAGGCTTAGTTTTTGTCAGTTATGTAGTGGTATATGAATTCCACATTGAAGGACTAAGTGTATTCCAGTGTTATGTGTCTATTTGTGTATATAAATACTTGTCATAAGTTTTATAAGTTTTTACTTTTATAATGTTTCTGCTGTTCAGCGTAGTATGGATGTGTTTTACCTAAGCTAGGAACTGTCTTGCATGAGTATCTTAAATTATAAACAAAGGATTAGGTTTATTTGTGGGGAACTAGAAAGAATCTCTAAAGGTAAGTAATAGATAAACTCAATTAAGTGGTCTGTGACTTTTTAAAGCAGCTGTGAAAAGGGAAGGAGAATGTCTGGTAGCTGACCTATAGCTTGTTTTGTAATTTGCATTTTAGAAAATATTTGAATTCATGATCTGGTGCTAATATGATTGCCCTGCTTCACTCAGCTAAAGACTATTAATGATATTTTATGTAGTAGGATGCTTAATGCTTTCTAAATAAACAAAAGTAGGAAATGGTTTTGACTTGATTTTGAGGGTTTTTTTGTCACTGCTGCACTAAGTCCTGTATTGATTTCTGGATGAAATGAACTGTTCAGTTGCCAAGTGAGCTGTTCTCAGTTCCGAACTATGCTCTTCATGTGGGATTGGTGGTGTATGATAACATCTATTTGAAAGGTTTTTTTCTTTATTGTTCTGGTTTTCTTAATTTACATTCCACCAGTGACTGGTTTGTTGGACACCCACAGAGAACTCCTGATGCAGAGTACTTTGAAGATGGGATACAAATGTAAAAATCTTATGTCAGTCAAATGACCTGTGAAATGTCATAGGCTCAGTGGAAATATTTAGGTTCTTTCTTAGCACTTCCTCTTGAAGATGTTGGTGGTATTTTGTTTCTGTTTCAGGAAATTCTAGGAAGAAGCTGATGTGTTCAGTGTGCAATAAGAAATGTTCCTCAGCAGCAAATCTCCAGGAGCATCGAAAGGTCAGTGAGATGAAGGCTGGCTCACAGCAGGCACTGACTTCCCTGAGATGTGAGGCTGTGCTGCTCATGTCACTTGAAAGCTGCTGTAATGCAAGCCTTTGGGTGATCTCTTTCATGCTTACAAAGCCAACCTGGTTTAGTGTGGGTATTTGCTTTTGTAGTCACACTTGCTCAAGCCAGATATCCCCCTACAGTTTTCATGTGTCTCTTCCCAAATGCTAATATGTTACTCCAGCATTAAGTCACAGTTGCCTGCTGTTCTTCAGCGTTCTTAAAGTATGTTATGTAACCATGGCATACATACAGACCATAAAATAAGTTCATGAGCCTTCAGTTTTTCTACAAAATACAGTAATTTTCTTATTGCTTTTTGAAATACCACTTAGGGGAGTTACTTCTACTGTAGTTATGCAGTAGTAAAAAAACTTCTTCCTCAAACCCAAATTTGAATGTCTTTTTTTTTTGTTTTATGCACATAATCTTTTATAACCAGAACAGGAGGGGTTAACAGTTAGAAAAGCATCTATTGGAAATAAGGGTGTTCATGTAGAAATACAGTTGGACCGTGAATATGAGATTCTGAATCCATTATACCCAGAGGAAGTCCCTGCAAGATTAATTTGATAAATCGCTAAAACCCAGGAGAATCTGTTTTTGCAAAAAGCTGCATTGTACTGTTTATCAGATTAACTGTAAGTCTTTAATAATACCCTGGTTATAACCTGAATCCATTGAGGATATAAATGATATCAATTAAAATATGTTGTTGCAAAGGAAATGGTGGGGCCCCTCCTTTTTAATTTGTTTTTCTCCTTGCTTGTGTTAGTATGCCCTGCACTTCTTGTCTAATAGGGCCATATTTTGTTATAGTGGTGTTCCTTGCCACGTGTATTACAAGTTTTACACATTGGCACAGGTCTTGCACAACAGGCCTTTAAAATGCAAAATGTTCTGGTTAGAGTGTCCATTTATTAAATGTTTGTTCTCTTTAGAGAACAACAATGGCAGACATTGTGACACACAAGTTTCTCAAATACGATTGATATTATCAGTTCAGCACTTAACCTAAAGAATCAGCATGAAGATTTTGGGCGTGAAACTTTCTTTGCTCTTCTTGATTGGCTTTTCTTTTAAAGCATCCAGAAAATGGCTATTCCACATTTACACACTTATATCAGAGTGAAGGAGATTGCACATAGTAGTGCTCAGTTTGTTTGCTTGAATTAATTTCCTTTTGTAGGAAGAGGGGCAGGATCGTCAGCATTGGCAAAAACATTTGTACAGGCAGTAAGACCAGTATGAAAGTAATAGGTAAAACCAGGAGAAAAAGACAGATTTTTTTTTCCTCCCACCCATTTCAATGTAAAGAAATAAAAGTGGAGAATAAAAAGGTAAAATATATCAGAAAATAAGCCCAAACAACAGAAAAAGTCTGACAAAGACAGAGAAGGGAGGTGAAGTGGGTGGCTGTAGGGGATTGATGCATGTTTACTTTCTGAAGACATGGTCATTCACATCTGTAGCTTTCATGTCAAATTTAAACTCATTTTTAGCTTCGTGTGTCTTGTGCACTGCCTGTGCCTTAATTGTCTAACTGTATTCTGATACTGAGTTCTGATGTCTGAGTAAAATGCAAAGTGCAATCACTCAACGGTGATAATAATGAGGAGAAAAGTGAGGGGACTGTTAATCTTCACTGATGCAGATTCCTGCTAAAAGATTCCTTTCAATATAAGGATCTCATGTTTGGGATTTGAATTATTCACAGGAAGTTACATTTCAAAGTGAGCAGGTACGTGTGAGTAGCACAGGCTGCCAGGCCTCTCCACTGTAATGGAAAGGGGAGAAACATTCAAGCACATCTCAGAGTTGCTGGTTTCTTTTCCCAGTCAGAGGTGTGATAGTGCTGCACTTCCAGTGTTTGTAGGTGGGCTGGGGGAGTCTCTCTCTTTCTGGCTGTACAGCTGTGGACTGAGCTTCTTACTCTTAATGTAATGGGAAATGAACACACTCTTAATGTGTTCATGGTAAAGCAGCTCATTCTTCTTTTAAGAAAGAAAATTAAGGACACCTTGGAGCGTAGGGCAATCAGGCTTTTTTGGATTTGGAATTGCAGGTTTTGTGTGTTACGGTTAAGAATGGTGCTGGTGCCTTTCTGGATTTCTCAGCAGATTTCTTACATGGACCTGTACAGTTCCATTCAGCTGTAGTGCTGTCTGCCAAGGGACCAAACCAGGGTAGATCCTGTATGTGCGCAGTTTGGTCATTGGGAGTGGGGCTGCAGCTGAGCCTCATCCCCAATGGGCTGCAGGTGTGAGCAGCATTGAAGGTAAGGAGTGCCCAGGGGCACTGACCAAGCACCAAAGGGAGGAGAGGGCACACAGGTGCAGGGCATCAACAGGAGGGGATAAAAGGTTGGGCTGGAAAATCAGTAAAGTGCTGATGCTTGAAGCCTTCTTGGGGTGTCAATTGTAACTCCACCATCAAGATCCTACTTTGGTCAGAGTTTGAGAGTGTGTATGAAGAGCCCTTGAGTCTCTCAACTTGTTAAACTTTGTAGAGCTGGACTTGCTGCAAAATTGGCGTGAGTAGAGTCACACTTAAAAATCTTTGCTTTCCAACTGCTGACCCCCTTTCTTTTACTTGCCAGTTCCAAGCATCTCTTTTGGGTTAATTTCTGACCTTTTTGTTTAACACTGAACAGTGTTTTATTCTACTGGGCAATTGTTATTTCTTATTTACCAGTCAGCTGCCTCCTGTTTTTCCAACATTTAGTCCTAAATGCTGTAATGGTCTGTGATGTTGAAAATACTGCATTTGTAGTTTGAGACAATGCTGCCCCTCCACTGTCTGGCCTCTAAAAGCTTTTAAGAGAAACAGTCCTGCAAGAGTGTGATAGTACTTGTTTTTTGAAATTCTGACAGAAGCTATGAAGTGGTTTCTGTGTTATTTTTACATGTATCTTGACTAGAAGAAAATGTCCTGACAAGTTAGTCTGCTTGGTTTTTTAATGCTTTCCTAATAAATTTTGGATGGATCTGGTAGATAGAAACACAGGTTATACAAACTTGCAGTATAGTTGTAATGATGATTTTTGTTGGCAGTTAGGAATTTTTACTTTTTGGGAGATGATCTTTTTCAGCAAGAGACAAGCAAGGGTGAAATCACAGAATATTCTGGAGTATTAGTATATCCACTGGCTAAGAAGTAGCTCCATTCTGTTAGAGTATTTATATCTGTGTAAGAGGTATGGTCTTGTTTTAGACACACATTTAATTATCATAAAACATTTTGCAGGTCCATGAGATCTTTGAATGTCAAGAATGCGACAAGAAATTCATTTCGGCGAACCAGCTGAAGCGCCACATGATAACTCATTCAGGTAATGTACCGAAATGCACAGAGCTCTGAAATACATGAATATCTATTTCATATATGTGCAGTTTTACCTGGATTAGTTTCTTATGGAAGGCTTCATGAAATCTCTGCTATCTAAGTCAATCTCAGGTTCCAAGGAAACTGTCTAAGGCAGCCTTCCCAAGCGTTCCAAAATTCCAAGTGATGTGGTGTAGTCCTCTTCCTGCTGCTGCTTTGTCTCAAGCTGTTTTGTCCTGCTAGCTGGGCTAGATGATGTCAGTGAGCTGGAGTGGGGCAAAAGGTTGCTACATGGCAGAGAGAGGAGGTGAAAAACCAGTGCCTGAGGTTTTCTGCTGAGGAGAAGAGGCTGGGAGCTGAGTGTGCTGTCAGTGATCTGTGCTACTCACTGTGTTTTCCTGTTTATCTGTGTATGTGTTAGTGGGCTCATAGCTTCTGGTCAGAGGAGAGCAGCTCATCCACCACAGACCACCCACAAAGGTTCCCTTGTGCCAGCAGGGAGTGTCCTATCTTTGTGTTTGGCAGTGTGGCACAAGGTGGCTCTGCCAGGATATCTGGCCACTGCAAATCCAGCATTTTCTGTGTCCCTCACCAGTGATTAGAAACATCAAGCAACACAATGGAAACCCAAACGTTGTTCTGTCAAATGCATTAGCATTTAAACAAATGCAGATTTTTACAGCTGCACAGGCTTAGAGTTGAACTGTTTTCTTGGTATCAGTCCACAGCAAAATCTCATTTCTTGTAACGTAATCTGTATCTCAGAGGCTCCTGGCTTTCTATTGACACTTTTGGATGAGCATTAGTGCAGTTAAGTTGCAGTCACCAGTTGAAGCATAAAGGCTTTTTGCGTAGGAACTTTTGGGTTTGGAAGCTAATATGTATATTGTTAATTAAGTTTTAAAACATTTAAACTGTCATGGCCTCTTTCACATTTGTAATCTGGAAACACAGTTTTCCTCTTTGAAGTCATTCTCTTTTGATTTAAGCTAATTAATCAGAGTTTAGTTTTAGCAATGAGTATTGCAAAGAATGTGCCAATTTCTTGAGATACACCATGGCTCATCTTTTGTGAAGTGACTTAACTGTCTAACATAAAGGGCATTAGGTGTCTTTCTAATTGGTTTAATCTTAATTGGGTTGACTTAATTGCAGAAATCTCTCTGAGGAGATGACTGTCTCTGCCTTTCATCTTCTCCCCCTGTATAAACAGGAGATTAAATGTCCCCCACTCATTTTCTGCAGAAAAACGCCCCTACACCTGCGAGGTTTGCAATAAGTCCTTCAAACGACTTGATCAAGTGACTGCACACAAAATAATACACAGTGAAGATAAACCTTATAAATGCAAGCTTTGTGGAAAGGGATTTGCCCACAGAAATGTTTACAAGAATCACAAGAAGGTAAAGCACTCTGCTGTTGTTGTTTACAGGTCTGCCAGCCTCAGATTTGCAGATTTTTTTTTTTCTTTTAAGTGGTTCATCGTTAAGCTCTGCCATGCTTATAAACATGGGATTAAAGTATTGGAGAATGTAGTTTTAGTGTTCTTTGTTATATCCAAAATTTCAAAAGGCTGAACCAATTCTAGTAAACAAAAAAGTTAAATAAGGAGAAGTAAAGCATAGTTGCTTGGTTAAAAGCATCAAATAAATCCCATTTTGACTTTTTTTGTTTTGTTTTTAATTTTTTGCTTTGCTTTGGTTGTGGTTTTTTGTTCTTTTTTTTTTAAGTACTAGATTACAAAGTTAATGTCACTGATTTAAAGATGTCTTCAAATACTTTTTTTTTAGTAGTGTAATTGAATAAAACTATGTGTAGTCCTCTTGCAGTCATTGTTGGACTTAGCAGCAGATGCTTTCAAACTACACTAAATTTGAACTTGGTGCAGTGTTCACATATTTAAACAACATCAGAAGAAATGTTACCTGAAAAATAGACTCACAAAGGGATGTTCTGCCTGTGTTGAAGCTCAAATCTGCTTGGCTTAATTTCTGTAATGCCTGTCATTAGTTTTAACCTGGGTTTGCCATTTCTCATGGCAAGGCTCTATCCAGGACTGCTGTTTCAGAATTACAAGACTGTAAAAAGAAAAAAGAAAAACCCTGATATAGCCATACCTCCAAGCCTTTCGCAGTGTGGCTCATGTTATATTCCATCTGGGAATTTGGCACAGGATCTTTGCACCATCTCTTGCACTTGCAGCCATAAATCATGTAAGAGCAATAACAATAATGCCTCTCACAGGATGAAATGGTGATGACTGTCTAAAACAAGAAAGCATGCAGCAGCCTGCTGAAGGACAAGATTATCTCCCATTCATTATATTTTATGGTCTAGACTTTAAGGAAATTCAACAGAACCTTGCAGATTGGATATACTCTAAGAAAAATGCATAAAATATTACCTAGAAAGATAGGTCTATATTTTAAATGAATACTTTTTACATGCTTCCTGATGTTAGCTAGCCATTGATGACTGGCAGGGAGTTTGGGTTGAAAATGGACTTCAGGATTAAGTATGAAGGAGTAAACACTTTGACCCAATTCTGTGTTTAAAGCAGCAGTACCACCAGCATAAACAAGGATTAGAGGTTCCACTTAATGGGAAAAATATTAAAATTTAGACAGCTTTAGTGGGTACCAAATTTTGATGGAATTCCTTAAAGCATTTTGGAATGCTTGTTTCCTGGACCTGTTTGCACCTAATACTGGCTGTAAATCAACTCTGCTCTATATTGAGAGAAACTTGTTCCTGTGTTTGCATAAAGATTACCCAAACAGCTGTGACTGTTCACCCATCCACGTGTAGGTCTCTAAATCCACTTGCTGAGTGAGGAGGTGAACAGGAGAGGCAGGAGACTTACATGGATGGCCTGAGTTGCTTTTTTAGGCACACCTCTCTCCGTTGAGGAAACAACAGGAGGAGAGGGAGCAGGCAGCAGAGGAGAGTCTGGGTGTATGTGTACAAAAGCCAGTTGTACCATACAACTCCAAGATGTGGTGGTTTGGAAGGCTGAAATAGTTTAGAGTGCCATGATTTTGGGAAGGCTGTGCCTAGGGAAAGAGACAGTGGTTCTCTTGCTTGTTCACAGGAATGCTGATCCAGGAACAGTGTAAATGTAAAACTTTCTTGTGTATTACACGTCTATGTATTTCTTCAGCTTATGTTTATAATGATTTTTAGATGTGTGTTTCCTGTAAGATGTCTTGCTAGGTTTGTTTTCTTTTGGAGGAGGAGAATTGAATTCTAAATAATTTCAGGGTCCTTTTCTGAGTTTCAGGATTAAGTTACTGGGCTAGTAGCAGGGAGCATAGATAGCTGTAGTAGGAATGATGGGTATAGGAGTTAAAACCACTTAAATCAACAGCATTTAATAGAAAACATACCTTTAAATTTGATAGCAACTTGCTTAAAAAACCTTTGGATTTTGCAGCTGGCTTGCATCCTTTTTATATATAAGAGAGTCCAGATACATTTTGTGCCTTGGAATTCTTGATTTGTGTTTTAGATGGAAACTTGTTGCTTTTGTTTCTGTAATTCCTGTGTGTGTGGGGGGGGGGGGGGGTGGGGGGGGGGCGTTAACTTGATTTCATGTTGGAAGTCTCAGAATAAAAATGGCTCCCACAACATATGTTTTTAAACGTCTTTCAGATGTGGATGTCTGTTGGGTCATTTCAAAAGTGCAGAAGGAGATTAGTTCCTCTCATTTCAGAGGATTTCACTGGGAGATGCAGTGGAGTTGCCAGGAGCCTGTCTGCTCTGTTCAGTGGAGCACTGGGATGGGAGCCTGAACTTAGCACTTGTTATGCTCTTAGAGCTGCACATGTGAGGCAGGAACTGTGGTAGCTCTGTGATCTGCTGCTCCTGCAAGCAGGTGCTGCACTGCTCTGCAGAGGTGCATGTGCAAGCTGGCTTTGCCACTTCCTTGGAGGTGTCCCGGCTGGGAAGTGTCCTGGGGTATGGAACCAGCTCAGATGTCCTCTGTGAAAGCTCAGGCTGTGACTTGAATGATCTTAAATGATGTGACTTAAATACAGTTCCATTTCTGTGACAAGGCAAGAGAGCAGTATCTGAAATGAGGAGGCAGAAAGGGATTGTGCTGCAGATGAAAGTGGTCAGCTTTGATGCAGGTTAGACTGGATGAGGGTGCATGTTCTGAGCCATGTAATGCAGATTACCTCCATACAGAAGGTGGTTTTGCTCCATCTGTTCCTTTGTTGCCGTGTACAGAGGATGAGTTCAGAGAACAAAATATGAGGACATGACAGTCGGCAGAAATAGGTCATCAGACGCAGGATTTTAAAGGGTTTATGGCTAATCCAGGGTTGTTTGGTCCTGGGGAGCATAATGATTTGAAACAACTGTATTCCATCAGTTGATCTGTTGGGAATAAGTAGCCTTGGGCTGGGCTTAAGCCTCCACAGATGCTGTGGTAGGAAAGGCTGCCATGAAATGCTGCATGAGAGCCCATCCTCAGTTGCTGGGATGATCTGTGTACCCTTGCATGTGGGTACGCCTAGTTAGGTGATTTTCTTTGTAGGGAAGTTAAGACGTGCAGATCAATCCGTGTATTTTGATCAAAAGGTGAGGAGAGTATAAAGGAGATGCTAAGGAGGAGTTCTGAGGAGCCCAGTGATTTGTACAGAACTGTCACTCATGTGGTGAGTGTTCCAGAGCAGGGCATTTTTTAAAAAGCAGCATGATGTTTGCGCTCGTGAAAGGTGCCAGATTGACAGCTCTGGAGACTGAACCCTTCTATTTATCCACAGAACAGGTACAGCACAGGCAGCAGCACTGCGAGCTTCCCCACAGTGTCTCGTCCATGTGTCCCAAGCCTGTTCTGGAGGAACCCCCTGTTGAGGTGAGAAGGCAGTTCAGTCTCTTCATGTCCTGTCAATCCTTGGCCTCACTGCCAGGGGGGCTGAGCAGGGTGCCAGCTAATGCCAACCTGCTGGAGTGTCTGGGCTGGATATATGAGATATATTCCACACCTGTGGAACATATAATATATATGAGATATATTCCACACCTGTGATGGTCTTCCAGCAGCCTTTTTGCTTTCAATGACTTAGGCTGAGGTCAAGGAATTGATTTTGAGCCCAAGGCCTCTCTGTACCATTGCAGGACGTTCAGGTTTTGGTGCTGTGTGTGAGAGGACATTGGTGTTAAAATCAAACTGGGTTCAAGGCCATCAGCCAGCCTCTCAAGAATTTTGCTGTCTGCTCAGAGCCCCCTTTTTTCCCCTCAGTTGAAGGGGTAGAATAACAGTTGCATGGATTCTGGATAGCAGAAATGGATTATATAAATATGTACTATGCTAACATTTGCCCTTAGTCTACCAGATTAACTCATTTACCTAATTTCCTACATATTATAAAACACTTACTCTCCATCCCCTTTTCCTCTGGGCACTCCAGCTTGTAATAAGGTTCTTGTGAGCTAATAAAGTATTTGGACGCTGATGCTTTAAAAACCTGCTTTCCTTTGCAAAAAATAGTAGGAAATTGGGTAGATAGTAAATTAATCAGTACAACTTATTATCTACAGTGGGACAGCTGTTAAAAACACTAGGAAACGGGGAAAGTGCTTTGGAATTTATAAAAGTAAAATAAAGCTGGATGTTTCCCAAGATTTTCTTTTCTTCAGAAAAGAAGTTTCCTTCATCAATTCTGCAGTCTAGGAGATTCATCCAAGCTTAGCCTTTTATTTTATTCATAGCTTTGAGGCTGTTTTTCAGCTACAATGACTTTTTCTACAGCCAACAAAAATGTCGGTACTGTTGCTTCCATGGCTTTGGTTTTTTTTCTGGTGTTTTTTGTTGTTTGGTATTTTTTTAAATAAAAGAAGCTGTATCTATATATAAAAGTAGTGTCATGATTTGAGGAATTTTCTTTGCCAAATTTTAGGTGTCATCTTGAAAATCAGATTGGTTTTCCCTTAAAACTTTAATGAAAAGAAAGAGGTTTGTGTGCGGACAGCTTCAAAGGATTTATTGATATGAATAAGTTTTCCAGGCCAGTGTTAGTGCAGCTGAAGCAATGCAGCTGAGCTTCTAGTTTTTTCCTCTGGTTATTCTGTGTTTTTGTTTGTGTTTATGTGCACACCTCATGTGACACTTGTGAGGACCCGAATGGTGCAGTTACTGAGTAACTGCTGTGCTGGCTTTCAGGATCCTGAATAAAGGCAGAATGATTATTTTACTTCTTCATCCCCTGGTGCTTCCAATTGTGATATCCCCTCCTGAGTCCCATCTAGAAAATGAACTGCAGTTACTGCAATGATGGATTACTGTGAGCCTTTCCTCTGACACACGTTGTCTTTCATCCACAGACCCATTCTGAAGAGAGACCGTTCCAGTGTGAGGAATGCAAAGCCTTGTTCCGAACCCCCTTCTCTCTACAAAGACATCTGTTAATCCATAACAGTAAGGGCAAAGTCAGAGGAAAAACAGCTTTCTCCATTCTCATATGTGACTGACAAAAACAAACATGTGGCACCTTGCTGCAATATACAACTTGCTGTGTTAAATTGGTGCTAGGACTCCACTCTGTATCCAGGGAGTTAAAAAATTCAGAGCCAAATTCATATCTTGCCTTCAGATGCACTTAAATGCAAATCCAAATATGCTGTAGAAAATCCAGCAATGTTTTGAGGTGTGATGGCAAGAAATTTATTTCTGCATTAAGTGTGATAGTGTTACCTCCATTTTAAGAAAGGACAAATGGAAACAGAGATAAGTTGGTGACTTGCTCAGCTTTTGTAGGAAATCCGGTTTAGAGCTTGACGCTGAGATTGTCTCTCCTGTGCCAGCCCAGGCTCATGTTTGCTGCCTCTGGCACAGAACTGGAGCAGCTCAGAGAAATACTGTGGCCATTTTCGCTCATGAGTAACTTTTCTTGGCATTCTGTCCTTTTTCTTTTAGTTGACTGGGTTATGATGTATTTTTGGTGGAATTTTCTCCATCTTTAATACTTGCAGACTATCATTCAAACCTTGGAAAATCAACAGTTTAGATTTTAGAAAGTGTTCATGATCTAAAATCCTTGTAGCTTGGAAGACAGTACTTTGTTTGGGGGAATATTCACACTGGCATAACTGAGAAAACCACACATCTTTCCTTTTTTAATCCTGCATAACAGTGTTTCTGTTAGATGAATTATTGGATTGGCATGTTCAGTTTGTTCTTTTATGATCATCTTTCAAAGCTTCTGCAAGTTTTTAAAGTGTTGGTTGTCATAAATGTTTTTCCCAATGTTAAATGTTAAAAATGGTGAAGGAAAATATTAAAAACCTGTTCAGTAATGTGCATTCTAATGAGCAAGCATTTCCAGAATATCCAAAATATTCACGGTGTGTAGAATTGTAGTCTTTCCTGAAGGCTTCTCTAAAAACATGTGCTGTGACTTTTTTTTTAAGAGGATGGTATTTGAGGAAGATCTGTTTTTCTCTTTGTTAGGTGAGAGGACCTTCAAGTGTGATCATTGTGATGCCACTTTCAAAAGAAAGGACACATTAAATGTTCATATTCAAGTTGTACATGATGGACATAAGAAATACAAGTGTGACCTGTGTGACAAAGCTTTTGTGACACCCTCAGTCCTGAAGAGCCATAAGAAAGTGAGTAGAATCAACTGATCCTTTCTTGTGTGTTCTTAAGGTTGTTATTCAGTGTAGAACCCCTAGAGCTGCTTCTGCCTTTCTGGCTTTTCAGTAGATTGTCTTTGCCCTAAAATGCTGATTGCAGGTTATTGGTGCCCAGCTGAATCTACAGCTGGTACTCGTGTATAAATTCAGTGTAGGTGCTCCAGCATCATGTGTGTGGCAGGATGGGCTTGGCTGCACTGCTCATTTCCACCAAAATCTGACATGGAATTGGGGTAAGCTTCAGGAGGAGGCTTGCTCACTAGTTTGGCCTGAGGTAAGATTGATGTTATGGGGAAGAAATGCAAAGAAAATAATTGAATCAAGAAAAATCAGCTGAGAAAAGTTAGTTAAGGTGTTGCTACCTAATTCAGATTGTGAGAATTGGTTTAACAAGGTCATGCATGTATTGCTTGCCATATAGGATGTGCTTTTTTACTTTTGTGTAAAATCAGAATTGCTTTTGCTTTGTGCTCCTGTCAGACCAGGACTGGCTGTGTTTTTGAGCCTTGTAGTTGTACTGTATTGCTCCCAGAAATCCTTTTGGTATTTAGGTGTTTGGAATGAATTAGTAGCTGTCTGTCTGGTGTATCCCAATGTTGCTGGAAGAGATACAAATGATCTCCAAATAACTGTATCCTAATCAAGAGGAGTTGAGCATTCATATCTTTAATGTCAGGGAATGAAAACAGTGCAAGTCCATCCAGTATTGAAATGACCTCTCATTTACTCTTGCTTCAGCTGCAGCATAAAATGTACTATGTGAGAAAGGTTTTTTTATGATGTAATGAAGAATTTTGTGTCATTATGGTGTCTTTTCATCAACATAAGGATTAATTTCCCCATCTGAAGAGGGTCATGTGCTAGCTGGAAACCAAAATAGTCAGCTGCTCATATAATTGAATGTGTTATCTTTGCTATCTCATTTAAATTTACACTTCTAAATGAAGTCATCAGAAATTCTCTACTAAAAGAACAGGCACAGTTATAAGGAAAATTAATTTCAATAGACTGATAAATCTTCAGTTCAGAGTTGTGTGTTGAAAGTACAGTGTGAAAAATGATGGTGACCTTGTGTGTAATTGATTTCAGGGCAATCTTGCCATTGGCCACACAGGTTGGGTGGGAGAGTTTGTAATGTTTTTTTTCTATTTTGAAATAATTCTTCTTGTATCAGTGAGGCCCTCCAGCCTTAAAAGCTTGATTTCAAAAGACAAACTCAGTGATTTAATGCTGGTGATAGTTACAATGTTCTTGTTGTGATGAATTCTTTAAAACCTAGAGCTAATTAGAATCTTTGCCTGGTGTGATGGTAAAACATATATAATAGAGGTAACAGCAGTCAGTGTCAATACAATTAAATATTCCATATTTCACTGTTTTATTTAATGCTGAACAGTCATTCTTGTCTTTTTCCTCCCCATGTAGACTCACACAGGAGAAAAAGAGAAGATTTGCCCGTATTGTGGACAGAAGTTTGCAAGCAATGGAACACTGAGAGTTCACATTCGAAGCCATACAGGTATTTATTATGATGAACAGAGAAGATTTTCTAAATCTGTAACAAGATATCTCTATGTCCACAATTTTTCTATCTACAAACAGGCAAATTTACACGTAGGCTTAACACAGCATCTTTGTCAATCTTTGTCAAACATTTTACCTGCTTAATATGTAAAAACTGTTGTCAGGTTTCATTTTGCAAGTTTACACTTTCATTCAGATAAGTGGCATCAGGTGGCTGAAAGAGGTTTCTTTGTGATAATTTGTTTACAACATAAAATGGTGTAGATTTGCCTTTGACATGACATTTTCTTACCTCTGCATAACCAAGTTTGGCTTGCAGGGAGATGGCAGTAATTTTTGTGTGCTGCTTGCTGATGTTACCCATCAGTTTGCATGGAGCAGAAAGCCCCAGTTTTTCAAGCTCATCGTGTAGATGGCTCTTGGGAGAATGCTCTGGATCTGTCCAAGTAAAAATGCTTTTCACATGTGTGCTGCTACCAGTTAGATTTCAGCTCTCTCAGGCAGACTTTCCAAAATTTAGGAATTGGACTAATGTGAGTGTAGGGGGATACAATATAAGAAAATAAAGGTAGTATAGAAGGTAATTTTACCACTTAAGAAGTTGCAGCTGAGCTAATTACTAAAGATTAGGAGCAGGCCTGACTTTAACAGGCCACGGCTGTAGCCAATAATAAGAAGAATGTTATAAAAGAGTGGATTGGTTGGTTGAGGGGAACTGGAGTCACTTGGCTGCTGTGAGAAGAAGGAAGAGTCAGTGCTTAGAGGAGATGCCTACAAGAAACATCAAGGAGGTACCAAACTCTAGCAATATAGAACCCTTGCAATGTAATGACAACAGTGAGTTTTGTGAAACCACACACCAGGGACCTCTAACCCTGAGTATAGAGCCCTGCAAAATTTGTAACCTCTGTTAGAGGAGGCTGTGACATTTTGAACTTAGTTCAAGCAGAAAGGCACGGAAGATTTCTAGTACCTTTGTAAATTAAGTGCAGGGGGAGAAACTGCCTTGCCAGGAGATGATACAGGTTGGAATTACAGCAATATGGAATGTGGAAACAATTTATGAATGAATAATGGTGCAGGTGGGAAACTTTCAAGGCCTTTTTTTTTTTTTTACCTGAGAAGCTAGAAGCAGTCATTGTACAGTTACTACTACAGGAAAAATGCTGTGCTAAATTCATTTATAATGACATTAGAGACAAACTCTGATTTGTTCCTCTTCCAGTCTTGCTCCTACTCCAGTTTTGGAGGTTGCTCCTAAGTTATGACTGTAGGTTTAAAAAGAATATTTTTATTACATCGCAAAATTCCTAATGTAGGGTTGAGTGAGAAAACGCCGTAGTTGGATTCTTGTTGCAAATCTGGAGAGATGGTTTTGTTTGGTGCTGTACCTGAAGGCTTCAGCCATGTTGTTCTTGGTCATAACACAAGGACACTGATCACGAGAGGAAATTGTTGTCCAGTGCTCAGTGAGCCTGAGGGAACATGGCTTTCTGAGGAATACCTTGCATCACTCCCAAAGAACGTAAAGGGAGCTACGGAAGGAAATCCAGGTTATCTGCAAGCAGGGCAAAAAAAAAGTTGAGCACTCTTAAGTTCCCTACAATGTGAAAGTTCTTGATAACTTTTCAGGGAATTTCTGAGCAGTAAGAAATCTTCAGTTCATCGAATAGAGGAACCACAAACTTAATTTATTCAGAGATGAATGTTTGGTTTCTAAATGTTGCAGTGATTGGTATTGGTGTCTGTTAAATTCTTTGAATTTGAATTGATAATTTCAAAACCATGCCATCCTTTTTCTCTTTGGTCAGACTTGAAGGTATCACTTTTCATTCTAAGCAGCCACTGTCTGTTTTCAGGAGATGATTCAGCCTTCTGAATAAGCCTTGAGCTTTTGGTGCAACTAAGCAGTCCACCATAAATGTAAACATTGCAAAGACCTTTTGTCTTAGTGGTTACAGGTGATGAGATTTGAGGCCTGTGTCCAGACATTTGTATTATCCCATTATCTTTCTGTGCTCAGCTAGACTTTGTTTAATTGTCTATTTTGTGTGAGAGGTTTTGTTCTATGTTTACAAAACAAGTTCAGGTAGAGGTTATTTTAAAGAGCGTTGTACATCACTTTTTCTCCTCCTTATGTCTGTGAAGTTATTCTTTACAAAAGCTGAGGTTCTAGGGTACCTCTCTGGTTCTGCTTTGGAGTAGTATTTTTTATATGCTTAATAATCCATATACAGAAAGAGAAGCTCAGTGGGGTTTTGTCTTTTATTTAATATGCAGCATGTGCTCTTAAATGTTGTTCCACACAGACATGCACGCTTCCTGGATAAGCAATTTTTCTTCCCTCTTCTGTGTTAGAATAAGACTCTGTAAATGAGCCCAAACAGCACTTGGCCTTTTGCAGCAACTGAGCTGGTTTGGGGTGAGTGAACATGTCTGCATGTGCATGTACAGAGGGAAGGGGGTGATCTTTGCCTCTGAACCTGGAGTGTTGCTCTGTAATTCATCATCTGAGTTTCAGCCTTGGCATGACACAGACAGCGCTCTGCAGGTCAGCTGAAACACTAGAGCACATTCTCCCTCTCCTGTATCCTGTTGGTTTATGACTTCTTAGGGTCACAGGGAGCTGGGGTTAATTCAGCAAAAGAATCCTTTGACTGTGATATAAATTCCTTGGCTTGTTCATAAATTGTAAAAGAAATCCTATGGTCTGCTCCGTGGGCTGGAAACCCGAGGGCTGGGAGGTTAATTGCTTCCCTGAAGTTTTAAGCAACTTCCAGTGTTAGCAGTTTCTGGCTGCAGTTTGTGCAGCTTCTCAGTTGCCTTATGCATATCTGTTTAAAGGTGTTAATTGCTGTGGGGTGTGTGTGTGGATTTGTGTGTGCCCGTGTGATTTGGGTATAAAAACACACACATTTTATCTGTCTGCTGTTTATACTGTTGCCTTCCTAATTAGTTGTGTCCTAATCCCTTCCATCCTTGGGGTGTAGCACATCACGCTGTGCAGCAGTGAAAGTTGTTCTGAAGTGGTTTATATTTGCAGGTAAATTTCTTTTAGAGCTAGGAGAATTAAGAGACTTAACTGTAATTCTGTCCTTTCTTTCCCTACTGATACTTAAAGACTGATGAGGAACAACTAATGGCCATAAATGTCTTCCAGAAAATGATGTGTAAATATAGGTTAAAATATAACCTTATTTTGGTTTTACCATCGCAGTTAGTCCAACTCCTGATAATAAGCCAGTAAGATAACTTAATCTGTCCTAAATGTTCTCTGAAAAGATGAGTTTTTCAATTCTATTTCATTTGGAAGCCATGACTTAGTGTGTCTTTCTTACATGTTACATGCTCTGCTAGGTGCAAAAAGCAGGTTGGTTTTTTAAGCATGACTTGAGAAGGTTCTTTGAAAATTGACTTCCATGTGCATGAGTAAAAGATAATACTGAGAGATTACATTAAAACAGCAAAAAGCATTTGGACCACAGACTTCTTTATCCTTTGTGCTAACACAATATTTTTCAATTTATGTAAGAGATTGTTTTATAAGCTTTCAAAGATATATAACTTGAGATGCTGATTGCCTTCTTGAAATGTCTCCTGCACTGAGAGCCTGATGTTATGCACCTGATTTTGCCCTTGTTGTCCCATTTCTACAACTTAACTAAGCTTTTGAGTGTATTTACAATCCTACCTAGTCCCAACTACATAAATGTCTAAGTTCAAATGTTGCACTTCTAAGACAAAATTCCTGGGCAAGTAAAATATTAGTAGTGGAGTCGTAATAATAAAGATCTTTGGTTTTTAACAGTAGTTCAGTCATCTCTGAACACAGAAGACTTCAAAGTAGTTGCAGGAAGTAATGAATTCAAGTACAGGATGAATTTTATTTATTATGGTGTAACATATATCACCAAAGGTTTAGTAGCTAAACAAGCAACTGTTTGTTCATGTACATAATAATGTACAGCCAGGATCCTCATTCCTGCAGATCTTCTGCTAAATTACCTTACAAGTAATTTATATTTTCTAACATGGGAAAAAAGATGAAAGGCAAGCTTGAAGGAACTTCCTCTCATATGCCAATGAAGTATGTGAAAGAATGTATCTGTATCTAGTCAGTGGACAGCTTGCAAATGTCTACAGATAGGTTCTTTCTGTTAATAACTTATAAATGATCCCTCTTTTATCTACCCAGTTTAAAAAGGAGCTTGCAGAAGGCCTCAGAGGTAAGGTTCTGCATTTCTAAACCTTTCAGTTTATACATCATTGTCTTCTTCATCTCCAGACAACAGCTAAATCTTTAAAAATACCTGTAAAGTTTCATGCAGCTGTCAGCTTCTTGTTGTCTGTACCCATGAAAGAGGAAATGTTCTTTGGAGGGGTAGATGATTTGAATGAAACCTCTTTAGATCAAATGAGTTACTGATGGATTAATACTGTTCTTTAAAAGACTTAGTTGACCATTGGGTTCACTGAAGTAATAGATGTTACATTTTCCGTTCATGGAGAAATCAGATTGTTTCATTCCACTGATAGCTGCAAAGAATGGAACTGGTTTGTTCTTTAAAGTTGTGTCTGGTTTTTATTTCTTACTTAAGGTTACTTAAAAGCTTGATACCAGTGTTGAACTGATGAGAGGCTGTAAGTAAGTAATAATGGTAGTTCATGCTTTACTGCATGATTTCAGATAGTCTTTTTATTTTGTAGGGATTTTTAGTAGTCTTTATGATTCATTTAGCCTATTCATTGGCAAATAGCCAAAATCTCAATTATATCATGATAATTTTGGTGGACCACATAGGGCAAACATTTTACTGGTCTTAACTAGAAATAATCTGAATTCTTTGAGTAAACCCTAAACTTTGCAGAAGACAAACCACCTCAGCTGTGAAAATACTACTTCTATACCTCAAAAATTAAAGCATGAATAAATACTTGGAAAAAGATAACTAATAGGAAAAAATATTTCTTAGACAAATAAGAATATATTTAGAA